TTTGATATTCTGATGAAGGATTTAATGGATACAAATGCTCTATTTGGAGAAAAAGTGGTCGTTTTCGGTGGTGATTTTAGACAAACTCTCCCAGTTGTTAGGAGTGGAAAAAAAGAAGATTTTATTCAAGAAAGCTTATTATATTCTGAAATTTGGAATCAACTCGAAAAACTACAATTATCAGAGAATATGCGTGCAAAAACAGATCCTACGTTTTGTGAATATTTGATGAGAATAGGAAATGGACAAGAAAAAACAAATAGCCATGACAAAATTGAAATCCCTGATTGTTTTGTTATCCCTTTCGTTTCTGAAAATCAATCATTAGATATGTTGTTTAGAGTTACTTATACAAATCTACGTACATGTTTTTCTGATGCATCTTCTATGACTTCTCGTGTAATTCTGACAACCAAAAATGACTTTGTCGATGAAATAAATGATTTGCTCATAGCTCAATTTCCTGGTGATCCTAAAACATACGTTGCATTTGATGAGACTATTGAAGCAAACGATCAAAGTCAATATGAAGATTTTTTGCACACTTTACATCCTGCTGGTTTACCTCCCCATAAATTAACCTTGAAAAAGAATTGTCCTGTTATGTTGTTACGAAATTTAAATCCCTGTGAAGGTTTATGCAACGGTACACGACTTATATCTTGTGATCTTCTGTCACGACCCGGATTTCCCACCATCGGGATCGTGATGGCGCCTACTCGTGGTAGCTAGGCAAGCCAACTTATTTACCTTTCATTAATAAATAAATCTGTTAACAATCCATAGCATCAATAAGAAATATGAAATTTAATAATAATAATAGCGGAAGTCTAATTTATAAGTCTGAATCAAAACGCGGAATAGTCAACAATAGCCTCTACCCAAGATTTGGTGTCACATTACTCACGAACCACTAAGAATAAACTAAATACAAAGGTCTGAAAGAAATATAACAGATGTCTGTCTCGAAAACAATGAGGCAACAGTCAAAAGGAAAACATAAAGAAGAGACGCCGGGCCTGCGGACGCCTGCAAGGCTACCTCAGTCTCGTGAATAGGAAAGTCTGCTCCCGAACTACTGCTGCTGCTGCTCCTCAAAACCTGGACCTGTGCAAAAATGCACAGAAGTGTAGCATCAGCACAACCGACCCCATGTACTGGTAAGTGTCTAGCCTAACCCCGGCGAAGTAGTGACGAGGCTAGACTGGACATCACATAAACCTGTGCAGTTATAACTATACAGCGGAATCGAATACCAAGTAATTAACAGCATGGGAGGGGAGACATGCTATGGGGAGATACAATATTAACAGTAACCCAGGGTAATAAACAAAAGCAACTTAGGTTCACAATGAACAAAGAATCAATACTCAATTACAAACACATAGCCTCAATAACTGTTGCGGCGTGCAACCCGCTCCATAATTACTATTGTTGCGGCGTGCAACCCGCTCCACAAATACCACTGTTGCGGCGTGCAACCCGACCCATATCATTTATCATGTATAATTGTTGCGGCGCGCAACCCGATCCTCACCTTTTACTGTTGCGGCGTGCAACCCGATCCTCAATACCATTGTAACAGTCCCCGACTCCCCAAACAACAGACACAATTAAGGGGCATAAAAATAAGTAAATATTTGACAAACATCCCGGCAAGGGGACAACCAACAACGCTTTCTCTTTCTTACTTTTCTTATCTTAGAGTCCGCTCTACTATTTTGAGCCAACGCTCCAAGGAATCAAGTCATTTCGTATAATTTC